AATGTCTTACAGAAAAAAATGCATAAGCTGCACATGCTGTTCGTCTCTCTTAAAGCAGAACGTAGAACTTGTAACAGGATATAACAGAGGAGTACTTAAGCCACAGTCCAAACGGGCAATTCTGGATGCCTTCTACTTCTAAAACCCTTCCCAAGCTTTTTATTTACTCTATGATAATAGTGCATTTCATAGCTCACTCCACCTGTGCCCTGACACATCTCCCCTAATTCAAAGGCCAAAGCCAACGACTAGGCTGCATCATTATGTAAATGTAGATGGACAAGTCGGGACACGCAGGCGACTTAACCATGGTCAATGGCTGATATCGATGATCTTCCATGCAATTTAACTTGTATTGAAGCAACGTGGAGTGCTGCAGCACAGTGGTTCGCCTTGAATTGAAATTATGTGAACTTCCGCTGCAGCCAATTAGGCGAGCAAAACGTTTGGTCAGGCCCAGTCCGCCGGCCATTCAGACGAGACAACGCGACTGAGGCGGAGTAGTCGCTTCCTGTGCACTGACATGGATGTTGGCCATGGCCTCTGTTGGCGCTTTTTCCGGCATTTCATCGAAAGACGTCTAAAAATAGTTTTGCGCCGCGGAGTCATTAAAACTGTCTGCAACGTGTTGGAACAGCAAACATAACTGTTAATTGCCATTTCTGTGGAGCTATTCCAAAATTCACCCCACACACTCGCCTATATATATGGGTATATATGTATTTATGTATATATGTATCTGGTTCTTGCTGCTTCTCATTTTCATATTTTGCCGCATGCGCCTCATTACAATTTAATTCACAATGTAATTGCAGTTGAGCGCGGACGAGAAGCGAGAAGCGTGTATCTGAAGACAGCCGAGAAGTTTTCTGTTGTCGGCACTTGACACGCGCCTCACATAATTTCCACACACGCACACTTATACACTCACACACGCGCCTTATGTGGCACACATACTACAATTTCAGTTACTTATAAGTACTTGCTGCTCCCCTCACTCAGATCCACACTCTTCCAGATTTGCATATGCATTTTTGGTAGTCGAAATGTCGCCGCCGCCGTTGTTGTTGTTGTTGTCGGAAATGCGACAACTGAAAATATTACGTCTGACATCGGTTCTTTTGCTGTTTGTTTCCTCTACTCAGAATTTCCTCCCCCAAATTTTCTCTCTACTCTTCCATCCTCTTGTGCCCATTTGCATATTACTTTTATTCAAATTATATTAAGTAGGCACAGTCGACAGTTATGGCATGGAATCTTGACAAAATTCAGAATTCATAATTTCGTAAGCGCTGCCTTCAACTTGTTGGGTATTTGAAAGGCAACTTGGTGGGCGCACTCCATAAATATATAGAGAAATATATATATTTGTGTATAGTTGTGTATATGTCTTCTGCTTACATGTACGTGTGTCCTACATGAGTCTCTTGACGTCATGTCAAAAGTGAATACCTCAGATGTACATTAAATATTTTGATTTGTGCTTACGTCTCACAAGTGAGTTTTTTTTTCCATCGTTGTTGCTCTCCATAGTCAATTACTCTTGACATGTTATCTTTATTAATTATATCGTTCATTAACTCTAAGGCTAATGAATTTTCTTACAATTTTCTGAATTTGATTTGATGCTGCTTTATGCTGCAATTGATGCTGCAATTGATGCTGCATAAATAGTATTTCACAAAAAGAGTATTCGGAATAAATAAATCGTATTTTCCGCGACTTACAATTTATTTTTATTTCATTATACTAAGTAAAGTTTAATATTCTTGAAGTTTTAGATTTTTTAAAAATGTTTTCAATAGTCCACACAGTGTTTATTTTGTGGCTTAGCTCATTAGCTTATTGTCTTCAATTCAAGCTTAATACCTTATGCAACACTGCGATTCTTTGGGGCATGTCCAACCCTCCACTCAGCCAGTGTTGTTTCCCAATGGAAAATGTTTGCATTTTCGGCACGTAGCATAGAAAAAGTCAGCATAAGCAGCTCTTAACAAAATATCTTCAAAATGAAGTAGCCCAAAGAGATTGGAGTGGCAGTTGTTTGGGGCTCCTGGCATGGGGTAAATGCATCGCCAAAGTGCCACAAAACGATCAACGCTAACCGCCCACTTGATAGACGTAATTTCGGGGCGAAGTAAGTCCCACGTTCTCCGCTTCTCTGGCCAAGTGCTGTGCATTTAAATGTTCGTTTTGTTACTGCTTGTGGCAAGCTTCGCCTAATGACAACCACTTGCGGCTGTCAAATGCAACTCTGGGGCGTGCCACGCAGCGTTGTAATATTTTATGCGTGTGCGGGCGGTCGGGCGGGCGGTCGGGCGGGTGGTCGTGTTGCAGCTGCAAGGTTTTTGTTTTTCCGCGCTGGCCCAACAATGGCATATGAATGCATTACCAGTGCACATACATTCTCCTTGCCACCCACTTTCTCTCTTCCTCTCTCTGGCAGGCAGCACTTTCATTCTACTTGGTCACAAATGTCCTCGTCGTCGTCATCTTTTCCATGGCCCTGGCGACGGCTGCTTCTGCTATTCTCATTCTCGTCCTGCCGCTGCTGCCACTCGGCGCATTCATAATTTCCACATTAACCTTATTTTCCTGTTATGCATGAGTGCGAAAAAATTGTCACCAGCCAGCCCGAAGGTTTTACGACTCGCCTCTGATGGATTTTAAATGAACTTTAACACATGCCATGTGACACGCCCCCAACCAACGACAGTGCACACCCTACTCACCAAACGACCTGACCGAAAATGGGCGTTGGCTAAGTAATTGGTTTTACTGGGGCAGTCCTTACAGAGATTACCTTGAGTTGACTCTGATAAAGAAAAACGGCAGGATGTTTCGAGTGAGCAAATGAAGCTAATCAGCAGAGTTTCTTTGAAAATGTTTGAATTCCGGAACACTCTAATCAGATATTGCGCGAACAATTCTAAAGCTAAGTCGCAAAGGCTTGTTAAAGCATTCTGGAAAACTAGTTTAAGGTCCGACACGGATATTAAAGTGTTATTTTGTTAGTAGAGATTAAATATGTGTTCTATAAATTTATTAAATCTCGCGAGTCTGACTCGAAAGATCTTTTCCTTAAGAAAGCAAAATAGCTATACCCTAGGAGTGAAACCGATTACAAAGTCAACCCGACTACTCAAAACTCAGACTAAAATCTTACTGTTGAAGAAAGCACAATGCTGTTTCCTTGCTCTAACAACTTAATTTAGAGTTCCTGGACAACACTTTCGACAAATAAAGTTTTTCAAATATATCAAAATAATTGTCATTCGAAAGTTACATTTATAAGGTCATATCTCAAAGTTGCAGAGCACTTTCAAGTCCATCATTCAGGGCTTGTTTGAACGAATTGAATGCACAAATGGATACTTTCACCACCAAAAGCTTTCACTATGCCCGCATTCAACATATTTTCTATTGTCCAGCCTTAAATATTCTTATCGCTCTAGAGCCTGACACATTCACACACAAACATCCAGCACGTACCCAATTGTGTGAGAGCCAGATACTCAAATGCAGTTTCTAAGGTTTTGGCCATTTGTTGTCCTACTATTCATTTCATTCATTTTAAGTATCTTTTGCATATACTTTATGTATTTCTTTAGCAGTGACAGCATTCATTTGAATTACTTCCTGTCAGCAATGAGTGCCATGAATACACCAACCACTAAACAGGCCAGGAGGCTACCCCAAAAAAAAGTGAATATAAATATAGAAGCTTGAATCCATTTCGTTGGCTCATTTATAAGCAGCACATGTGCGCCTGATGTGATATGTCTAGAAAGGCTCAGTTGCCATTACCCAGTCTCAGCGCTCATGCCGGGAGCTCATGCTTAAAGTGCAGCAGGCTGGATGGAGGCGGGTGTTGGGCTGATGCCTTGAAGTGGGCGTGCCGCTGTTCACATTTAGTGTGTGCCAAATGCACATTTAATAACGTAATTTCTGAAGCGTGCAAAAGATATTTTTGGAATTTAGTCTCTTTCTTCAGCAACTTTCTGCTTCATCTTGCAAGCTACAAACAAAGTCCAATATATTATACATATGTATGTATATGCTGAATATATATTTATATACTATATAAAGATATGTATATGTATAAGTTGGCGAGTGTCACCTCGTCGTGAGGATGTCGCACAACTTTTTAGCCAAATTTGCATTTGCAACTGACGATGATGACGTAGCCTGAAGCAGCAGGAATTACCGGCTGGATGGCACTAGAAATAGCTGCTGGCACTAGTCCTGTGTATCTGTCTGGGCGAAAACTGCCCGACTCTAACTCTGTCTACTATATACTACTGCGTGTGTATGTGTGTGTGTGTTTTTGTATAAAAAGCTACGCCACTTTTATGCAAATAATGTCTTCTAGGAATTTTTGTTATTTATAGTTAAGATACCAAACGTGTGGATGCCTCATATCCAAAAGTGTGCATTAGTAGCTATGCATGAGTATGCGTGTGTGTGTGTGAGTGTGTGTGGGTGGGTGTAGTTTGGATTTGTGTGTGTTGCACTTCCTAACAAGTAATAGCTTCATTTCTTTAGTCAAGTTCTTCACCTCACCAAGATAGGCGACGTGGGAGTGAGGTACGCTAGCTGAAGGTGAGGCAAGTTCAACTATCTAAGGTTAGTTTGTGTATAACTATGCTTGCATATATGTGCATGTGTGTATTTGTGTGTGTGTTTAGTCTCGCAGTCAAATTACATTTTGGAGCTCATAAAAAGTAGCTATTACAGTTTTTGGCAGTTGTTTCTGATATGTGTTGACTTATGCATCCCTTCTACACTCGTGCCCATAATTTAAATTGACATTTGTATTAGCTTGTACGCTACAGCCAATTCCCTTTATAATTCTCAATTAGTTATAAAATTCGTTACTTATTTGTCTTTATCAACTATCAAATAGTATGCGCTATGAAATCAGCAATTTCAAGAGTAAATAAAGCTGTACTTTTTTTATAATTTAACAAATATTTATGTGTTAAAAGTTCTTCACTTACCTAATTCCACATAAAGTTTTGGTCGTATATTCTCCTGCCAGGCACTTTGATTACCAATCACGAAGAGTGTCAGTAGTAGGAAGACTTGCATCCATCCATAACTTTGGGCTAGTGTTTTTGCACTTTGCAGATGCATTTTGTGGCTTTTGTTATTGTTTGGATTTCTGTTGTTATTGTGTTGCTGTTTTATTTTATTTACCAAGTTGCGGAAATGTAACATTTCTATTTTGCATAAATTTACTTAATATCCGTGTTATAAATATTTTTGTTATTGCGGTCAGCACGAGTATTGTTCGTCGTAGGTTGGGCTTAGATTTTAAATGTATATGCTGAGTGTGTGTCGTAGGGTTTATATTTAATTTATTTACTGACTCTGATTTACTTACTATTTAAATGCTATTTATATATGGCAAATATAATTTTTTTATTTTATGTTTTTTTTATATTTTTGTTTTGTTTTGTTTTCAACAAATTTCCTAACAAAGTTAATAAAAACCGAGCGTTTTTGTATTCTTTATATTTATATTAATTGTGTTTTTTTTATATTAAACAACTGGTTGTGGAGTTTGTAAGTAATTTCTGCAAAGAGATAATTAGAGTAAAATTTATTTATTAAATGTTCAACGTGGTAATTGGGTTATTTTATTACTAAAGTTTATTCCAAATTATTAGTGTACTTATATCTGGATTACAAATCATTTATCATCTGATTTAATAGCTTATAACAAAAAATATGAAATAATATTGATATCTCTAAGAGTTATGTAATTTATATTTGCTATTTTTGTTCAAAATATATGGGAGTACCTCATCTTACTCCAACAGCAGGTAGAGGGGACAATCGGCAATTGTTAAAGCCACAAGAGCATAAAAGGTGGCTGAATAATCGGAAGCTTATGACTGCATAGGAATCTTTAAAGCTGATCTTTCAGTAGAGACTCTTGTGTCTACTAAACTAATTCATATATTTTATAAATTTATGACATTCTTGATACTTTAGTGCTTAAATTAAGACTAATATAATACAAAAGCTTATCTCATTTTGGTGTTAAATTTTGCGTGCCTACTTTCAGGTACTTTGTGCAAAACAAACAATCGGCAAAAACGAATTCAAATGAATGCAAAAAGGGCTGCTCCAAGTAGATTCTCAACTTTACCACTTGCGCGCACTTCTAGCCCCCGACTGACAGCCAACACACACACACACACACACACGCATTGTTGACATCATAATTAGAACGCACCCGACACACACACACGCACACACGCATACACGCACTCTCACACATGACTTAAAAACAAATTGCGCTGCACTTTTGTGCCCTCCTGGCCAGATTTATGACACCGCATAACCCCATTTCCCATTCCGCTACCCTTAACAGTTCCGACACCTTAGCCTCGCTTTTCCACAACCCCTGATCCTCCCTCATCTGGTCATGTGCCACATTTCTACATTCCGTGCCACATTTTAATTCGCCGAGTGTGGGTAAATGTTGAAAAACTCATTAACTGTGCACGCTACTTGGCACCTTTTTAGCCAGTTTTTCTTTTTGCTTTACAATTTGCTCTCACTTGCCTCATTCACGCGCTTTGTTCGCTTTCTTTCTTTTTATTAGGCATCATTCTGACTTACTCACACTAGCCTGGGCGCCGTCTCTCTCTCGCGCTCTCCTTCCTGCTCTACCGAATTCTATTTCCCTTTTTGCAGCCCAGCCCCCATTCATTTGTGGGCGAAGGTCGACAACTTATCTGTATGGCAGACATTTCTAGGCATTCGCACTGCCCCAACTGGCCTGTATGTGAGGCTGAGCTTTGTGTGTGTGTCTGTGGTGCTTCTGTGGGTGTGCACATACATGATTGCACAATAAGCCGATTTAGGTATGGTCTCCTTCTCAAATTGAGCATAAATATTACGCCAACCCCATTGAAAAAACGCAAAATGCAATAAAATTAATTAAAATGAACTAGAATAGATTTAACGTTGAGTGCTAAGAAATTTAATGCAAATTTATCCATTATATATGTTATTTGCTAAAAATTTTATACATTTATCACCCAGTTCCTGTCCGTGATAAATATACATCTACCCGTACCATTGTATGCTAAACGTCTAAATCTAAATAGATATTTATGAGTTTTAAGTGCTTCGAACCGACAATCAACAGCTGAAATCCACGTTCGCAGCCTCTTCAAATCTTGGGACGAGTATCTTAAAAGCGAAAAATATAGGTTATTTTCCCCAGGATAATTGCGATATTTCCCAACTGGCGGATGGAATTTTCGAATTGATTTTTATCGATTGGTGAGAAAAGGGCCAAGTTATCGGAAAGAAACTTCTACTGCGCGGGCACTAGGAGAACCTACGTTCTTATAAATTGGTTTACATTTGTTTTAAATATAGGAGCTTTTTTAATTAATGATTAAAATACGACATTTTTAGTTATTTATTATGCAACAGCAAACTGGCAAATGTAAAATATTAAAACAATCACATTCGCTTAAAATTGCTATTAATTGCACGAACTTTTTATTTCTATAATATTTGAACTTTTATGTGCAACGACACATGCACTTGTTTACACATGTCATTTATTTTGCAGCAGTGCTGGAAAAAAAAATGCCTCAGCTGAAAAAATAACACGTTGGCAAACATTTCGGAGACGACATTAAAATGGCGAGCCGGGCATTTAAAATGCAGCTGCAAGCAAACAAACACCGGAAAGGGAGCAACTGCAGCTACGATTTACCCAAAAGCCCAAACCCCTCATGTCTCTCTATGTGGACAATTGCATTTTTGGGCTGCAGTCTTTGCAATTTCATGTGTGTGTGAACTTAGGGCCAGGTCTGCAAATGGTAAGCCAAAATAAATGCAGCAGGAATATGTCAAGTGTGGTAACACAACAATAGCAGCAGCAGCAGCAGCAACAACATACACCAGGCTGAGGCTCAGCTCATTGTGTGTCCTCAGCTCGAGTCTGAGCCTGATGCATTGCGCATATTACTCAAAAATAATGAAAAACAGCAGCAAACGTGGCTGACGGCTGTTTGTGATTTTAGGTTTTTACAGTTTTTGTCTTTTTAACTGTGTGGCAACCACAACACACATGCACACACAGTTGCCGCCCACTGTTAACACTCATGAGCGGCGCCATTTGTTTTGCGGCCGCCATTTTGTTGCAGCTGGCAAAATGGCCGCGCCGCCGTTTCGGCCATTTGGAGAGCTCACTGCAGAAATCAGCTCTTAATACACAAATAAATGCTGCATTGCCATGTGATATATATTAAATGCTTATATGTTTGTATATTGCATATATCAAGTGGAGTATGTTTAAATCGTTTGTTCTGTGTCTGTCGGCAAAACGAAAATATTTATGTTGCAAATCTTTGCGGCCCGACGTTGTTTTTATTTTTGCTTGTTATTTTTGGTCCTCGCTTCTCGGTGTTTCGTGACTTGTTTGTCTTGTCTGCATATCCTGCAGCGATTTTTTTTCTTCTGTTGCCGGCTCGCCGCTTTGTTTTGGCTGCAGTCAACGTTGACGACGAGCGGCTTTCATGTATATATAAATATATGTATATTCTTGTAAATGGGATTTGTTGCCTGGGCCGTCGCGTAAACTTCTCATTTATTAGCTTTATTTCTCTTTAGTGTGTGTGTAAAAATATTTTACAATTTTTATAAGCACATGTTTGTCTGCGTGTTTATGTGAACACATACGTGTACAATATCCTGGCACCAGGACAAACAGATTTATTCGTTTAGAAAACTTTGTTTCCTTATCTGTGTTTATGTCTTTGTTTGTGTTTTATGTCTCATTTTTAAGAGGAGCTTTGCGGTGTACAAGGGGCTGGCACTTGAGTAAATAATCATAATGGAATTTTTAAGGCTTACGACAATTTAACATGTAACCTGTGTGTGTATGTGTGTGAGTGTGTGTGTGGGTTTACTGGTATGCGGGTCTCGTTTCGGTCGGGTGCCTACGGGTTAACAATGAGTTATGCGGTTTTATCAAAACATTTTATATGAACTGTCCTTAATTGGAATTTATGTCATAAATAAAGTCAAATTTTTTTTTTTGTAGAAAATAGGAGAATGAAAAATTATGCTGCATTTGTTATTCTCTATTCTATGGCATTCTATGAGAAACCGAACTTTAAAATTAAGAAAAATAATCGAGTCTGGTAAGAACTCTTCAATTTAAGCTGCAAGTTAACAAACAAGAGATTTAGCTATGCTCTGTCTTTTACCTATGAAGGGTTCTGATTGATTCGCGTGATTCAGATAAATTTTGAGCCCTAAACTTTGAAAAACATTTTCAAATTATTTTTAATTGCACCGCATGCCGATAAAATTGTTTCAAAAATTTCATAAAAATGATATGCATTAAGGTATTTCACACTTAGTTACAGGGTATCACATAAACAAGCACTCAAAGCTATTGCATTCCATCTTGTTTGTTTTGAACGAATTTAAAACTAAGGCAATCAATGATGCAGCGAGTGGGGTAAACAGATTTCCATTGTGCTAGGAAAGCAATTGCAAAAGCATTTCTAGTCTCTGGTCGTTGGGCGAGAGGCGTTAAAGCCATTTGCAGCAGATTCTCGACCACTTAACTGGAGTACTTCTATCCAATTTCGGTTATGCTGCAGTCAGCAGTCGGTTTTTTGCACTTTTGCCGCCTGCTGCATGAAACTACAAGTACGAGTGGTACTTGAAGAACTTCTTCTGCCACATACAATCCGTATTTTTTTTCTTCACTGGGAAACAGTTGCTGGCGTCTGTGGCTTGGTCTTCAATTTACATGTTCATAAAGTGTAAATTGGAAATTTGAGCTGTTGTAAGTTGCATAGCAGAATTATTAATGAATTGGGAATCAGCAACAAACTTTGCCATAACAAGCTGAGCAGCGAGAAATCGAGAGAGAGAGGGAGAGAGAGAGAGAGAGAGAGAGAGAGAGAGAGAGAGAGAGAGAGAATGAGAAAGGTTTGAGTCGTGAAAATGCCTAATAAGCAAATGCATATTGTAAACTGAAAGAAAGAGCAGCAGTTGGCATTGGTGCAGTTGCAATGCGGAAGCTGGAAATTTATTTACATAACCACAAAAGAAAAGCAATACAAGTAGCTGGGAACAACATTAACTGAAAACCAGCAACAGCAACAGCCACTGCGAATGGCAATGGGAATGACAACGAAAGCACAACAATAAATAGCATTATGCTAATCCAGGCCAAACAAAATGGCGAAAGCAAAGAAAAGACCAACCTACCGATCCCTTCCTCCCTTGCCCATAGACTTGCTGCGTCCTTCTTGCAGGAAGCATTAGCTTGGCGCTTGCTGCCAGGCAGCAGCTGCCATTTGCCACCACAGCCAACAGGAATAATAATTATGAAGGAAAACACCAGCAGCTAAGAGCGAGAGACACGAATAAAACGGCAAGGCAAACTGCCAGCTACAGCAACAACAACAACAGCCAAATAGAAATAAATAAAACCTCAACTAACTAACTATTATTTACTAAAAATAAGTCACAAAACAAAAAAAAAAAAGGAAAACACACAAAAATCAAGCGAACAAAGCGCAAA